GAGGCAAACTCATAAAAAGAAAACAGGAAGAATGTGTTAAATACCAAATGATTGCTACATATTGTAGTTTGAGTTTTCCTTGGAAAGAAAAAAATGTTGGGAATGTTAAGTGTTGAGGGAAAAGTTTATATCAAAAGTTAATTTTAATCTTAGCTTTGGGGAATGGTTAAAATTTAAATAGTCCAAGAGGGAGAAGGACTGATGTATGTACAAGGGGAGGCAGTTAGAAAGCAAAAGAACTCAATGTGAGATAATTTGGAAAGGAACATAGCTAAAGAGAAGGGTTGGGTAGGGGAATACTATGAAAGAGAAGACTCGAAAAGCAGGTTAGAGGATCCTAAATGCTAAGATGAGGATGTGGAGATTTTATCTTAAAATAATATGTAAAAGATAACCTCTACTGAACACTTACCACATGCGTGGCACTATTCCAAGTACTACACATGGGTGATGTTATTTAACTCCTACAATAAATGAGACCCAGAGAGGCTAAGTAACTTGCTAACTTCACACTGTTAGAAGGTGGTAGAAGAGCCAACGTTTGAACACAAGTGATTTAAATCCAGAACCCCTGCTCTTAATTACAAAACCCTGTTCTGGTTCTAGGGTCCATGGTAAATTGAACCAGTTTCAAGCCCATGATTCCTGACCTTAAACAAGAAATATGCTTAACACTTCTGGTAATTATTAACATTTAAGAAAGGTAGTATGACTAGACAGTGACAACATTTCATTCCTATTCCTGCCACCCACATACATCATCTTCAGCACAGGACAGTCAAGGAGAGAAGTTAAAGTATGTGTGCTAATTGCTTTCCACTCTGCTCACTTTCTTATTCTTATCAAGTCAATTACTCCCAGTTTACCACTATCATCTAACAGTGAAGTTCTATCATTTCATTGTTAACCATAGTTCAGTGGTTCTCAGAGTGCGGCTCCTAAACCAGCAGCCCCAGCATCAACTGGGAACTTGTTAGTTCCAGTTCTGCAACCTAATTCCAGGCTTACTGAATCAGAAACTCTGGGGGAGAGGTGCAACAGTCTGGGTTTTAACAATCCCTTAGGTGATTTTGATGCACACTGAAGTTTGAGAACCACTGCTCTAGTGTATTCTAGTGTTTTAGTTCAAAGGTAAACTACTAAACTTTTTTTGGTAATACCTGGTATTAACATTGGGAAACAATTTGGAATCTTACTCTTGAATTTAGGCTTCTGGGTCTTGCACTCTAACTTTGTGGAAATAACCGTGGCTAAGCCAACAAGTGTCTTTAAAAAGCCTTTTCTCAGGTGCTTTGATTTTTAGTAATTTGAAAGCATACCTAACCTTTGCTTTATGACTTTAGTTTATTCCTGAAAACCTGACCTCTAAGTGAAAAGTTATTAGTATCAGGAAATATTTTTATTAATTTTAATGGATAAAAGTATGTGTTTCATGATTATCTGAGATAACAAAATAATTTGTAGGTTAAAAAGTATATCAGTTGAACAATGAAAAACAAGTTTGTAGAAATAATACTTTGAAAGTAAATAAAAATAATTATACCTAAAATGTAATAATGGTGTATTGCACTTGCTTACAAAGGAAGAGGAGGCTTTCCATTAGTGACTGAGGAAGAGGATGTACAAAGGGGTTTTCTTTGGAAAATGCTGGAGGGCCAGGTGGTAGGTAGACTGTAAGGCAGGGAACTTTGGGAGTTCATAGTTTGCTTGCACTTAAAAATAGTTGCAGCATACCTGGACCAGCCACTGTAATACAAATGAAACAGAGCCTCTGTTCTCAAGGAGTTTGGAGGAGGAGTGCAGTGCCCCAAAAGCCCATTCTATAAAAAGGCAAAAACGAAGTGCTATTGCAAACACAAACAGAAAGAAAGCAAAGGAGGAAGAGGCTGGGAAGGCTTATAGACCCTTTAGATCTTGAACTGAGCCTTAGAAAAAGAGGGGGGTTCTGATTAGCTGACATGGTAGCATGCCATGCCGAAGGAACAGAGGGAAATGGCACCCCATGTATGGTTAAGGTATTGGAAGTAAGTTTGGAGCACTTGGAAAAGGGAAGGGGATTGCGACAGACATCAGTAAGAAAGAGGGCATAGAGTTCATTTCATCCAAATTCTGTGGGCAACAGTGAGAGTAAAATCAATGAAAAAAAATACTCATATCACAGGAAAATACTGTTAGGGCAAAATACAGAAGCACTTTGAAACAGAAGTAGTGCATACACTCAACAGATGAAGAAATTGTTAAAAATACTACTCCTTCAGTCTTGTTGCTTGGTGTATATGCAAAACAAGCTTTTCTGATTCATTCAGATGTGGTACACAATTCATTAATTTGTTCTTTATAATATTCTCTGAATAGGACTTATTGTATTGAGTAAAGCAATGTCTATTAAATATCACCTCTTTTTTGTATTTTTGTATGTCTTTGATTTTTTTTAAAGTTGTAATACAAAAAAGGGTGAGGGTGTCATTGTCTAAGAAGTAGTATTACTTTTCAAGAGACATTATAGCAAAAAGCTACCTAACAGTCATTATGTGACATGAGTCTGTAATGAGAAATGACATGTTTAAGAAAACTGTACTTTAAAACTACATTGATTGAAAACTTTTAAAACTAGAATTCTTGTCTTTAGTGGCTAGTTGATCTCCTAGAAACCCTTAGATGAGGCAGTTTTTAACTATAAATTTTGTAGCACCTCTAGTTGCTTTCAAGTAGCTTTCTTATGCCCCAGAGTTTTACAGTCCATTTTTTTTATAGCGTGGGCTATTCCGATTTATATTCATGCTTTGCTCCTTTTCTTTTTGAGGCTGAAGGCAGAGGATGAAAGGAGCCATGCTGCCTGTAGATTTTTTGTTGCTGTTTTTGGTTTAGAAAGGAAGGTGTATAGAACTCCAAATTCACATATATAGTATTTTATAATACTTGATTCCATATTTCTTAACTTAAATAGAAATGTGGATAGTTTCCCTTTTGAGTAAAATTATGTGGAACAAAAGTTATAGGGATCCACTTCCAGGACAGTAACGCATAAGAAGTATGTACAGTTTTGGGAAAGTGGTGTGTCTTGGATGTGAAAGATCTGAAGTTGGACAAAATTTTTTTTGTTTCACATATTTTTAATAATGGACACATTATACTTTATCCTACCCCAAAACTGCATTTATTTTATTTTTTTTAAGATTTTATTTATTTATGTTTAGAGAGAGGGATAAGGAAGGAGAAAGAGAGGGAGAAAGAGATCAGTGTGTGGTTGCGTTTCATGTGCCCCCCACTAGGGACCTGACCCACAACCCAGGCATGTGCCCTGACTGAGAATCAAACTGTTGACCGTTTGGTTTGCAGCCTGCGCTCAATCCACTGAGCTACCAGCCAGGGCTATTTTTAAAAATGACTTAATAATATTAAAACATTAAATGAAATACCCTTCTAGTTATCAGGTATGGCAGATATAGAATTGATATTGTTACACAATTGCTTTTTAGCTTGTCAGGTTAATGTCCTTCCTACTTCCATTTACAGAACATGGTATGTTTTAAATTGGCTTCATTTCCACAGCTGTATGACTAGGATCTATTGAGAAGGTGCACACCGCCTGGGGTTTCTGCCAAAACTTGATTGACTTGCAGATAGACTTTTTATTAAAGAGTTAAAGTCTTACAGTGGGGGGAGGTTATGGGGGGGTAAATGGTAATGGAAAATATATAGTAAAAATTATATAAAGTCTGATGATAAGTTAATAAAACCTTTGTAAAACCTTGTATCAGTCATAATTTTTGTTGCTGTTGTTCTTATAAAATGTAATGGGTACAGAAATGGTTAGCAGTGGAATGGTTATACCAGCTTGCTCCATACATAAGGCATACGCTTGAGAGACCTAGGCCTGCAGTTTATTTATGGAGAAAAAAGCTGAGTATTGAATTTTGAGAGAATGATCAGTGGTTCTTAAATTTAGCAATGATAGAAATAGTTATTTTTTAAAAAATTCAAGAGAGTACACTTTGGGTTCGTCTTAAAAGAATCATTTCTGATATAGTAGTAGCAAAATTTGGAACCAGAACTGCTACATTTGTATATGTAATCTGTGCTATACACCAAGAGAAAGGAGAACTAAGATCTTGCCCACACTCAGAGCTGCCCAAGCCATGTGCACTGGTATGGGCTGCCAGAGGAAGAGGTCCGGCTCTGTTTGTTTGTTTGTTTGTTTGTAATTGGTCTGCCCAGTAGGAACACTATTTTGTAGCTATTGGCCTGGAGAGGGGCACCTTGTTTTAAGTGGCTAAAAAGTATGTATATGCTGGCTAAGACCACTTTGAAACCCAATTTAGTATAATTTTTAGCAGTTTTGCCTGCAGAATATCATCTTTGGGTGACACTCAATGATTAAATGTAATTACATGTTAGCCAAAGAGGTCTAAGGTTTATAAAACATGGGCTACAAATTCAGAAGAATTTCGAACTATAAATTCAGAAATACCACAGCTAAAATTCGGCAGAAATGCATGCTTTTAAAAGTCTGTTTACAAGAACCTGTACTTTTGAGCAATTTTGAAACAAATCTCGAGATATTAATCTTTACTTCTGGGAAGGGAACAAATATGATTCAGACTGATTGCCTTCTATCCTGATATTATGTATAGTTTAGTGTTAGAAATCCATTGATAACAAAGCTATTTGAGAAATTTGAAACTAGTCAATTTAAAAGAAGGTAAGTGATTTTACAGAAAGAAGATTGACCAGAAGTTAGGAAACTTACACTCTAGCTCTTACTATCCCACGAATTCACTCTGGCCCAGTACAGGCAATTAAACCTTCTAGTCCTCAATCTCTGTATCTGTAATGTGAAAGACATACCAAATATACGGTCTCTTTCAGTTGTAATGTTTTGTGATTTAAAAATGATATCTTTTCTAGCCAGATCTTGAACCTGTTACTAAATACATTCATTCTATTTTAAATCATTTAAGCCAAGTAATGATTTTTGTTTTTTCATTCCTATTTTTCAGAAACTCTGTGAAGGCATATTTAAAGTCCTTGTAAAGGACATCCCAACAACATGTCAAGTGTCCTGTCTGGAAGTTCTCCGTATTCTCTCCAGAGACAAAAAGGTTTTAGTTCCTGTAACAACCAAGGAAAATATGCAGATACTGCTGCGACTAGCGAAGCTAAATGACTCAGATGATTCTTTGGAGAAGGTGTCAGAGTTCCCAGTTATTGTGGAGTCATTAAAATGTCTGTGTAACATAGTGTTCAACAGTCAGATGGCACAGCAGCTCAGCCTGGAACTTAACCTTGCTGCAAAGCTCTGTAACCTCCTGAGAAAGTGCAAGGACCGAAAGTTTATCAGTGACATTAAGTGCTTTGACTTGCGCTTGCTCTTCCTCCTGTCACTTTTGCACACTGACATCAGGTCACAATTGCGCTATGAGCTCCAGGGACTACCGCTGCTAACCCAGATCTTGGAAAGTGCCTTTAGCATCAAGTGGACCGATGAGTATGAATCGGCCATAGACCATAATGGACCTCCTCTCTCACCTCAGGAGACAGACTGTGCCATTGAGGCCCTCAAAGCTCTCTTCAATGTGACAGTAGACAGTTGGAAGGTGCATAAAGAGGTAAGTTTAAGAAGGGTATTATCTACTATAGAATTTAATTGGTCTGGGACATCCTTTAGAGCTGCCTGCAAGGGAGGAATGGAAAAAATTTCCAGTTCCCCCATTAATCATTATATGACTCAAGATTAATTTCTTAACCATTGTAAATCTTATTATTTCCATTTGTGTAACATTTATCAGAAGAACGGGGTGAAGACGGACTATTGCTTTATAAGATGCCAAATATAGCTCCTTTTCTGAATATCAGGTGTCTTTTCTTTTTTAAGAGTACGTCTTTCAGGTACAAGGTTTAAATTATAAGATTTGAGGGGAAACAAGACAATGCGTTCATAAAGGTATAGGCATTTTTTGTGGCTATCATCTCAAAAGTTAAGAGAAATCAGACCAGTTGAAATTGGTCAATCAGAATTGATGTCTGCTGTGAAGAGTAAAAGATGCTGTGTCATGTATCATCCTAGTCTCCTGGAGTATTACTTTATAGTGTTAGATAACAATCAGAAGTGTAGGACTACAACTAGATATCCATGCTTGTATGCAGTCCTTAGAAAACAAGCATAATTACATGAGAGTATGGGAAAGGTTATTTTAAACCTCTTGACCTATTTCTAAACTAAGATCATTTTCTGTGGCTTGGACTGTCCAGCAACCCAAAGTGAGGCAGATGTAATAGTTTATATTTTAGTACCCACAAGAACAATATGCTAAACAAGAAACTTAGTTTAAGGAAGTCAACAATTTTAAGTGAAGCGGGTGTAAACTTTTTTCCCTTACTTCTACAATCTTAACATTTCACATTTACCCTCTCTCCTTTGCCTTAAATAACTGGTGAAAGTAAGCCACTGCCTGTAAAAAAAATAAAGAAAAGAAATGTTTTAGTGCTGGAGCAAATTATCTTTTCTGACAATTGACTTTCGGACTTAGGTTCACGTATTACTGTGTCCATTTAAAGCAGTTCTCAGCATGAATAACAGTCTGTTTTTGCCAGCAGTGCCTGAGCTGATGGAGTAGGGGGCACTGGGTGGAGGAGACAAAGGAGGGAAAATCAGGACAACTGTAGTAGCATAATCAATAAAATAAAATTTTAAAAAAGAATTTTCTCAGTGCATTGCTATAGTGGGAGTGGGCAGGCTTCTGAGTTGTAAAGCGCAAATAGTTCTATATTTTGAAACCAAATGTTTGAAGATCAGTTCTAACAGCTATTTTAGATGACCATAGTATGGTCAGTTTTTCCTGGGACTTGGCAAAAGAAAAGATGTGGAAAGCCCACATGCTCCATTTATGCTTTGAAACCAAATATTTGGAAGTATTAAAAATGTTATGTCTCTATGCCTTTTTGGTACCTTCTATGGTTATTTTTCTTACACTGTTTGTTTTGGTGTTTTTAAGTTTTCCATTTAATTGCAAGAGCTCTTCTGAGACTATTGGTTTGCCATTGTTGGAACTCCTGTTATATAAATTGTGCCCCAGATTTGGGGCTCACATTGGTAGCTCACATTGGTAGCTCACATTGCTCAAATTCATGGCAAAAAAGTCTGCACATTAGTGTACATATGGATGACATGTAATAAATATCACTAAATCGAGATTAGTCTTCATTAGTGGGGCTGAAAGAAGCTTTAGAAAATGCTGATGTGGCAAATTTTCATTCTGTGTTATAGAATGTTTATTCTCCGCAAGGTATGTGAGAGAGGATCAGTAGTCCTGAAGCAGGCATCTCAGCAGACCTAGTGTCTCTTGTGAGTTGTGGATCAGATGGAACAGCCGTTATAAAATGTACCCCATGAATGTGACTCTGGGCCATTATACAGTGTCAGAAATTTAAACAGTATTGAAGACAGGATTTTGCCAACTCATTTAGTCAAGAGTGTGGGAAAGGTTATTTTAAGCCACTTGAGTCTCCATGAGTTTCAAATTCAAATTGTAGTGAATATTTAGTCAATCATTCAGTCAGTCAACAAATACTTAATGGATACTTGCTAGGTGTAATGCTTTGTGTTATGTAATGTATTGGCAATAATAGGTGTAGACACAGCCTTCATGAAAGTCCAGTTTTGTTGGTGAAACAGGTAATAAATAAGTAAACAAATATATAATTTAAATTGTGTTAAGTGCTAGGAAGGAAACGGCAGTGATTGAAAATACTTAGTACAGTCACAGAAGACCTTTGAAGGTCTCTCCTGATATCTGAAAACTTGAGAATGATTCAGCCATCTGACGAATGGGAGATGAACATTTCCCAAAAATCAAACAACATGTGAAAAGACACAGAAATCAGCATAGAGTATTTTTTACTGAGGTACCCACAACATAAAGAAAATCTGTAATAATGGTTCAGAGAAACTTACCAGTAAGATTCCATTTACCTGGGTTTTATTATCTCCTTGATTGTCAAATGAAAGACATCTTTCATTAGTTGAGCAAGCACCTAAAGAATTGTTAGTACTTTAAAATGTTAACTGAAATAAAGAGATATAGAAGATATATTGTATGGGAAAAATATCCAACTTAAAAATAATGTTTTTCTTACTATGAAAATAATACATGCTAATTATAGAAGACCCATGGGGAAAAGAGCATACAAGCAGTAAGAAAATACAAATTACCTACCACTCAAAGATAAGCACTAGTTGCATTTTGATATATATCTTTCAACCATTCTCCACTAAATATAAGCACATGTATATGTTTTCTTTTTACAAAAATGGAGTCATTTTATAATCTTGACTTAATTTCTTGCAGAGTAGCGCTTTTCAAAATGTGCTCCTTGAATCCATAAAGTTCCTAGGAGCAGCCCCTGGGGACAAGTGGGCAGTGCTCCAGGTTCCCCACCCTCACTTTAAAAAGAGCACATTTGATTGTTGCTATTGCTGTTGCTGTTTCTTTTTAAATTTAGATTGTAACTAGATTTTATTTGGTAGATAAAAAGAATTCTGCAAACAGAAAAAAAATTTTGACAGCCACTTCTCCTATTTGATAAACCCTTACACCAAGGGTTTATCAACTTTAAACAAATACCCTATGTGTAGGCATTGAACAATTTGTAATTATTTGGTATTTCAAATAGTAATATAGTACATTTTGTTATTGTAAGAATCTTTGTAGATAAATTTCTAGGATTGTTGTGTCAAAGAGGTTTTCAAAGCTTTAAGGTTTTTTGATATGCATTGCCAAAATGACTTTCAAAAAATAGTGCAAGTTTATATCTTTTCAAACCCTGGGCATTTCCCTTTTTAAAATTATTACCTATTTTACACCTCAGCTGTTATAGAAAATGCAGATGTTTGGCTTTGGTTTTAACTTTTAATAGCTATTTTTATAACTGATCATTTATAGTTCACCATAAACAGAAAATTAATGACTAGGTTTTTCTTGAGGTTTAGCAAATTAGTGCCATTTGTTCATTTTTAGGTTTATGCCTCAGTGTTAAATTTCTGCCTGCCTGGTGATGACATCAGCAGATTAACTTGGAGATTTCATTTCATTCAGTAGGAAATACAGCTGGCTGTATGTCCACATGTAGTGTCAGCCTTGTTTTCCTCTCTTCCTCTCACCCTTTGTCTCTCTGTTTCCTAAAGGCAGTGTGTTTAAGAAGGTCACATGATTTCTCTAGCAAGACTGGAAGTCAGTTCTAGAAAAGTGAATTTAAAAGGTGTTCCTTCTGCTTTAACCTTTTGTTATCTCTCTTGATGGAGGAAAGCATGTTATTCTAGAGATCCCTTACTTAGCACACATTCCCTTCTGCAATACTTCCCAGATGTCAATGCAATATGATGAGAAAATACAAGAACCAACAGACGTGGTAGAGCTAGACAACGAAATGCAAACAAACAAGTAGTTCAAATTCTAAGTAGTCAAAGAATGCTTTCTGAGGGAACTAAAACAGTTGAGTGTCCATAGAAGGTAATTGGGAATGTCACATGGTAACAAGAGGTTAGTTCCTTGATTATTTTAGAGACTTTGAAGGAAATGTATAAAAAGGACATGATATTAATTAAATAAAACTAAACCTTTGAGCTCTGCTGTGTTTTTTGCTTAATCATTTTTTTCCAACATTTATCGAATGTCTAGTATGTGCCAGGTTCTGTGTTAGTCATATAAGATCCAAGATAAAGCATCACTGTCCTTGGAGAACTAACTGTCTAATAGGAAAATCAGACATACAAACAGAGGTGGATATATGACAGTTTGTTACATTATTTACTATTCTCTATATTTTCTATATGTTTCAAAATAAAAAAGAATCACCTCAACCATGCACAGTTGCTTCAAATGCTGTATATTCTAGATCGTTGGAGGTGTGTCTCACCTCACTGTCGTAGCCTTTCTGCTAAGTAACATACCTAGCACAAGTAGGTGTTCAGGAAATAGTTTCTTAATGAAAATTAAAATGTAATGTAGTTTGATATCTGTAAAGGAGAAATTGCCTGAATTCAAAGGGAGGAAAGTTTATGATACCACTTAAATTTTCAAAGCTATTAAAATTTTTTCTAAAAGCCTAAAAAATTTAAAGACATTGTTTATACAAGCAGCTTCTAGCCTTTAATTACAGCATTCTATTTTATAACATTTAATTCAAAAAAGCATTTATTACTTTATGCACAGCACCATGATAGATGCAAAAGAGGTAAAGTAGATCATTTTTGCCTGTAAGGAGACAGACAGCTTTTTGAACATTTAGTAGGACAGATAACTATGGTAGAGGTACAACAGGGTGAGAGTAAAACAAAGAATGAAATGCTACCCAAAATATTTCCAGATAAGAATGCTTATGCGCATTTGCATGCATATCTCTATGAATGTGCATTTCACTTTTTATAGAAATGAAATTGAATTTCTATAAGTTTTCTAAATCTTATCAATTAGAAGTACCCTGAGATAAAGGCAGATTACGACTCACTGATGTGAAGTAGTCTCCCTTCCAACTTATTGATTAGATCAGTTAAAACTCTGCATGAAAAGGAGTGAGGAAATTGATAACTTTACCAAATGAAAGTGAAGCC